TTTGGGACCCGAGGGGCTTTAGGAGCCCCCCGAGAGCTCCAGGTTGGGCAAAAGCCCGGCAGAAGGTGAGCAGCAGCCCAGGGTGGGGGACTGACGGCGTCCCACCACGGCCCCTCCGCACGGCCGTCTCCAGGCTCTGTCCTGGACCCCCTCCAAGAATCCAGTTAGGAATTACCGGGGGGACATCAGAGACACGCTGGAGGAACCCCATCCCGGGCGGCTGGCGTTCCAGAGCATCTCTGAATACTGGGATAGAACCATAGAATCGTTTAGGTTGGGAAAGACCTTTAAGATCATCCTGTCCAACCATTAACCTACACTACCAGGTCCACTCTAAGCCAATCAAGGGTAGACTAGACTAAACCATGGCCCAAAGTGCCACATCTACCCGTTTTTTGAACCCCTCCAGGGATGGTGACTCCCCCACCTCTCTGGGCAGTCTGTTCCAATGCTTGGTAAACCTTTCCATGAAGAAATTTTTCCTAATATCCAACCTAAACCTCCCCTGGCGCAGCTTGAGCCCATTTCCTCTCGTCCTATCACTAACTACATGGGAGAAGAGACCAACACCCACCCCACTACCCCCTCCTTTCAGGTAGTTGTAGAGAGCAATCAGGTCTCCCCTCAGCCTCCTCTTCTCCAGGCTGAACACCCCCAGCTCCCTCAGCCGCTCCCCATAAGGAATGGATGCAACCCATTGGGAAGAGCCTTTTATCGGGGTCACCTGGCTGAGGTGCCCCCAAATCCTGGCTCCTGGGTGGGTTTTGCAGCAGGGCTCAGCAGCAACCTCTCTCCCCACACCCGAGTTGTGCCCCGGGGTTCAGCGCTGCCATCTTCTTATCTTCAGCTGCCAGCCTTCAAGGAAGCCCACAAAGCAGAGCTGCTGAGGACCAGCAGCAATTTAAGGTGTTTGAGGGGTTAGGAGGACAGGTGAGCTCTCACCCTCACTTTTCTTCCCTCTCCTCCTTCCCTTTCCCAGGTCTGGATCTCCCGCACCGGCTGGGGGGGTAACCTGCCGCCATGGGGGTTAAAACGATGCTCCCCAGCTACGAGCTGGGGTTTTACGCTCTCACCGTGACGTGCGCTGTGGTGTACAGCGGCAGCGGGATCTTCGAAGCGTCCAGAGGTAACGCTCCCCATCGCACCCCTCAGAGGGGACCCCAGAGGGGGGAGGATGGGTGTCAGGCAGCTGCTTTTACAGCTGTCGATACCAGCAGCAGAGATTTTTGCAGAGAACAGCTTAGGAATCCTTCGCAGGGATCAAAAAGGATTTTTGCCTTTTTCCTGGTTACCTCCTTCTCCCCATTTCCGCAGCTCAGAGTAAGAGGCTGTGGCACGTCACAGCTCTCCAGCCAGTGCCTGGAACAGGCAGCAACCCTGCCTACAAAGGGCTGGTTCCCAAATTTTTTTTTTTGTCTGGAAGCCCCAAAACCTGAAAATTGCGTGGGAACAGCCATGGGATGTGGCACTGCACAAAGGCTTTGCTGGAAAGTTACGCCAAAATCGTTGAGATTCCCGATTCCTATGGTTGTCCATGGGAATTAGGCGCTTTGGGGACACCCTGATGGCTCATCATCGCGGTGAGGAAGGCTCCCTGCCTTGCTGAAACCCGGGCCCCGTTTCCCAGAGCTGTTTCTCTCCCTGTAACTCTGGTTCTTTTGCAGATAGCATGAACAGAAAGGCCTTTCGGGATGGCATAAAGCCGGGCTGGCATTACTTCGGCAGGAAGATGGTAAGCGGAGGAAGGATGCGGTCTTTTCTAGCCACCAGCGACATGGTCGGTGCTGACCGCTGGAGAAGCAGAGCTGTTTTTTTCTGCTGCTGACACACTTTTGCAAAGTCCACATGACTCGTGTTTTTCTCCCTAAAGAACTAGTCAGGAAAATATCAGCCCTGCAGCACCGTGGATGCTCTGCTTTTGTGTGTACCAAGACGAGCAACCTCTGCACATCTCTCCTGGGGTTTTATGACCAAGCTAAAGTGCTTGGGAGACCCTTGGGTGGAAAATGGGAAGAAAAGGCTTTGAAAGTTGTGTGGTTTCCCCTCCAGATGGGTGATGGGGTGGGGTGTGAGGGCTGGGGGCAGTAAGGCACCCGGTGCTGCTCCCGCAGGACGTGGCCGATTTCGAGTGGGTGATGTGGTTCACCTCGTTCAGGAACGTCATCATCTTCGCCCTCTCGGGACACGTCCTCTTCGGCAAGATCTGCTCCATGACAGTGCCGCAGGTGAGCCAGGGATGTGGTGGGATGGATTTGAAAGCACCAGGGTGACCTGGGATCTGTGGAGGGGGCTGGGGGGATCTTGTAGGATGGGGGGATGTTCTAAGATGGGGGGAGCAGGGTTGAGGCTTTCACCAAGCTGACCACGGGTCAGAGCCGCTCTCTTCTTGCAGCACCGGGCCGTGGTGTACATGCTGTATGGGGTCCTGGCCGTGCTGGGCAGCATGGGGCTTGTCTACCTGATGATCATCCTCTCCCACTGCCTTGTCCTCTACTCCGTTGCGCTGGCCAAGCAGAGGTGGCTCTGCTATGTGGCTGGGCTTTGCTGTCTCGCTTCTTTCAAGGTGGAACCATTCAGCTCCTGGCAGGTAGGTGCTGTCTTGGACCACCCATCTGCCTCATTTCCAGCCCACTTGTGTCCCTCCTTGGATTTCTCTCCAGGGAGAGCTAATGGGCACCTCAAGACCCTGGGCACTTCTCCTGCTATGTCAGAGCTCACACAGGGTTTGAGAGGGAGGGGACTGTGCCGCTGAGCTTGGGAATAATCCCACGGGGGCTATGCCATGTTTTGGTGGCTTCATGCTGGGCCAGACCTGAGGACACCTGAGCCCTTGCTGCTCAGGCAACAGCTTGTCAGCCGGGCAAGACATGTTCCTGCCCTGTGCCTCAGTTTCTCCACCTGTAACACAGTGCTGGCATGGGTTCAGTGACACCTATGCCTATCTCTTAGGTCTCTGCCCAGTTAAGGTTTTCTCTCACTGGTGGGTGGAGACAAGCCCAGGAAGGACCTTATAAAGCAGTTCGGTTCCTCTGAAGGACAGTGCTGCCTGTCCTTGCCTGCTGCTTACCTCCTGAAATGCGTTCCCGACTCCCCATCAGGCTTGTGCTGGCTTTCCTTCACCTCCTGGGCAGGGTTATGTCCTGACCAAAGCCTGCATGGCCCACAGCTGCTTGGTGAAGACATGGTCAAGAGGTTCTACCACTTCCCAGCTCCTCTGGGATGCAGGAGCCAGCTAGGAAACTGAGCCCCAGTTTTCTCCTTCCAACAGCAAGGCTCATTAGCTCCAGGGACAATTGGGTTTGGAGCATAATTAGAGGCTTTGCCTACTGCGCTGAGAGTGATGTCCTCCACAAAGCGAGGGAGCACAGAAGTGACCCCACGGTCCTGGTGGTAACTCTTTGTTTCTCATCCAGAGCGGGTTTGTAACGGGAGCTTTTGATCTTCAAGATGTCCTCTTCTATGGAGGAAGTGGCTTCACCATCATGCGCTGCATGAGCTTTGCACTCGAGAACTCTGAGAGGAAAGAGGGCATCTATTCCATCTTCGACCTCCTCAAGTACAACTTCTACCTCCCCTTCTTCTTCTTTGGGCCTGTCATGACATTTGACCAATTCCACGCCCAGGTGAGTGCTCCTGAGGCTGGGCTGGAGGAGGACCTCTCCCTGTGTTTATTTGCTTGGGTTTAATGCCTACAAAAAAACACTGTTTGCCACTGTGAAGGTGCAAATAGTTGTGGAGCTTCTCATGGTCACGTAGAGTCTGTGGCCATAGTCTGGTCTGCACAATGATGCCGTGATTTTGGGGGGAAAGGGGCATAAACTGATGGGTTTTTAACCTTCCCCTTTGGGTTTTGGGGTTTTTAACCTTTCCCTTTTGGGATCATTTCCACTGATCACTACAGGAGGGAAGACATTGCTGTGGTGAAAACACCATGCTGGGATGAGGAGGGGAGGGTTCAGCTCACGTCCTTGCTCGCTGGGCATCTGCACTGCTCAGTGCCTCAGTTTCCATGCACTGTCACCCCAGCAGCTCCATGCTGCCCCGCTGTGCGGTGCTGGGAGGCCACGGTGAGAGCCAGACACGTGGTGCCCATCCATGGGACCTCTGCGTGCTGGTGGCTGTGAAAGCAAGGGAGGTCTCATGTTTCCATCCAGCTGGTTCACTTAAGGAGCATGAATTTCTGGAGATGTTCTGTGCTTCTTAGGACGAAGTTATTTCTCTAGAAATAAGTAAGATTGGGTGGAAGGCTGTGTTTCAGCAACCAGGGGCTTCCTCTGCTGCCCATGAAACACCCTGGTGCCTCAAGTCTTTGCCTGTGTCACACACAGCCAAGGGGACTTTTTGAAGAGCAGACTCCAAACAGCACTGGAAAACATCAGCAGAGGCCTAGGCTGGGACCAGCCGACCTCTGGGGCTGTTTCATGTCCGAAGATCAAGCAAAACGGCGGTGTGCTCTCCCTCCTCACTCTTCCCATCCCAACATCCTTTTACACCAATGATCAACCCTGGTCATCAACGCAAACCAGTAGTGCTTGCTTGCTAAGGGAGGGACGTCTTGCTTGGTCAGTAATGATGTTGGGAAGGATTGCCACCACCCCTTTATTTCCTTTTAAAGAAGAACAGCTACATTGAATTTTTGGACTCCAATTGACATCTGGGTGCAAGAGCATTTTGGAAAAACATTCAGAAAAAAACCCACCAAACAGCCCAGGGCAGGGCAGAGCAGCCAGAGCCTCCCTGGTGAGGAGGAGACCAAAGACCCACACAGCCCAGAACCTTCTCTCCAACGTTGGGCTGGTAGTGGTTGCCAAAGAAAGTAAGCAGGATGAACCCTGATCCAAATCCTACTCCTTGCTAGTTCATTCACCTGGGGCATTATCCACTTCATGCTGTATGCTGAAAGGGTGCGAGTGCAACATTGAGATCCCTTGGGTCTTGCGGGATCTATTTAAAAGGACTCTTATAGCATTTGACCTTGAAGATCATAAGGTCAGCTCTGGTGTCCCCCATGAGGGATGCTCGTGGTGCACTGAGCCCACCAGCAGCCTGTTCTCAGCAGACAAGCACCAGGCATGACCAGCATCAGCTCTTCTCCCCAGGCTGCTGGCAGAAATGTTTCATTCTAAGGCTTCATCTTTCCAGTTGTGTCTTATTTGTCGGGCAAAGTCCAGGTGAGCATGGCTCCAGCAGCTCCGCTGTCCAAGCCCCTCTGGAGGGGGTGCAGTGCCCTGGGGTGCCCTCCTCACCCCTTGTTCCTCTTCCTTCCTCTGTTTCCATCACTCATTCCTATGACACGGGCAGCCCTGGCTTATTCTAGTGCTGCAGCCAGGTATCTATAAATCAGGGCATTAAACTGCTGGTGTCTCCAAGACCTGAACTCCCACCACCCCTACAAGGCTTGATCTGGAGGGTCCTGTGCCTTTTGCACAGCCCCAAACCATGATGTTTATAGCCACTCCATGAGCAACTCCCCCAGCCTCTGTTGCTCAAAACTCTTACTCCAAAGGCACAGGGAGTAAGTACCCAACCCCTTTCCTGTGCCCCAGCCAGGGGTCCTGTCTTGGCCTGGCCACCACTGCCATCTCCTGGCTAGATGCCCCCCTGCACTGCTGGAGCTGCAGCTAATTGCAGAGGTGGATTCCTAATTGCCCAACAGCAATTATGGGGGCAGGCAGATGGAGTCCCTTCCTCAGGGTGGGGTGTATGGCCCAGTCAGGTGAATGGATCTGTCTCCTACTGGTGCTATGTCCTGGTGGAGCCCTTGCACCCCATGTGTGATGGGAACTCATCTGTACCAGGGCTTGGCCAGCCCCATTTTAGCTGAAAAGTGTCATCCTTATTAGGATCAAGGGAACAAATTAACTTCTGTAGGGCTGGAAGCGTGGGGAACATAGCCCTGATCCCAAGGTGATGGTGGCAGAGTGCTGCCACCACATGCAGACATGAAGATGAGATGAAACAGCCTCAAGTTGCACCAGGGGAGGTTTAGATTGGCTACTAGGAAAAATTTCTTCACAGAAAGAGTTGTGAAGCATTGAACAAGCTGTCCAGGGAAGTGGTGGATTCCCCATCCCTGGAGGTATTTAACACATGTGTAGATGTGTCACTTTGGGACATGGCTTAGTGGTGGACTTGGCAGTGCTAGATTTATGGTTGGATTCAATGATCTTAAAGGTGTTTTCCAATCTAAATGATTCTATGATTCTCTGAAAGGGGGGCTCTGTGTCCTCCCACATGTCTCCATGCCAGAGCCTGTCCTCCCTCGGCTTCTCCTCCAGCTCATGGTCCAGCAGTCTCCTTGTATCCTTAAAGCACTTGGCATATAACAGACATGAAAAAAATCTGGCAAAGGCTTTAATTCTCGGGACTCATCTGGATTTGATGACAGGGCTGATGCGGCAGCCTGCGGATTACGTTGGGAGAGCTCCCACCTCTTGCAGGGAATAAAAGGAAAGTAATAAACATAAGAGGATTTTGAATACAGCAGCAATTTTTACAGCGATGTGGGGAAGTGAGGACATCAGTCTGCGCAGTGTAATCCTGAAAGCTTGCTCTGATCATTTTTATATTACAACGGCCAGAGACATGACAGCTTCTGGAGACAAAGCCTAGCCCCTGTTTGTACAAGACACAGCAGAGACAAAATCCCCATCGATCAGGTCCCAACTGATTCAGGATGGCCCCTTGAGCAGATCTCCCTCTTATTTACAGCAGGTATCTGCAGCAGAAGCTCCAGAGGCCATCAATCATCCTCCTTCTCCTCCTCCCAAATGACCTTGGCCAGAAACATGCATCTGGCCCTGGCAGAGCTGTCAGGTGGGATTCCAGCCCTGCTCCCAGCTTCTCCTGGGCATGCAGATGTCCTTCCCTAGAGGCTGTGGCATCCTGTAGATGTGATGGGTATGGGCATTTGCTCTCCCTTAGTGACCTGTGCAAGGGGCCACGCTTAAGCAAAGTTGACCTTCTGAACACGTACGTCCCTGCAGAAAGAGCATAAACCCCAGCTCCCTGGTTGGTATGGATTTCACCCCACCCAGGGTCCCTTAGGTACAGCCAGACCTGTCACTGCTGTGTCACCTGCTCTGCTGGCCACCCCAGTGATGGGAACAGCCTTTGCTAGGAAGGGGATCCAGGAGGCACAGTGCTGCAGCGCTCAGCACTGAGGTGGGGGTGTTGTGGGTGGGACACATCCTGCTCCCCGTGGATGTGTTCATGTGAGCTAGTCCCTTCCTGAACCAATGGAAATTTTGGCCCTGTAGTCCGTGCTATGATTTCTAAAGGACAGCATTGAATTTGGACCTTGAACGTTTCTCCGGATGGAGGAACATGCTGCCCATCCTGTCTCTCAGCTCAGCCCTTTCCCGGTTTGCCATCCTGGCAGGTGAGCACCCGCGAGCTGAGACGCAAAGATGACGAGATGAGGAATATCCGGATCCATGCCCTCCTCCACGTGGGGGTCATCATCACTGTGGATATCTTCTTCCACTTCTTCTACATCCTCACCCTCCCTTCTGACCTGAAGTTCATGAACCGCCTCTCGGACTGGTCCTTGGGTGAGTGGCCGTGCTTGGACATGCTCACACCTGTGCTCAGCTTCAAGGCAGTGGTGAGTGATTCAGATCTCCACCCATCTCCACTGAGAGGCCTTGTCAATGCCTGTGTTGGACAGGTTTGGATAAAGCCCCGCCTTCTTCCCATTGACGATGCACAGAGCCGGGGTCTGTCAGATGGCATTGGTTTGACATCTTCATGGGCTCCTGGAGTAAATTGTTTGGCTCGGGGTTTAGCAGGCTGAATACCAAGCTGTTCCCATTGCCTTTGTCTGGACTAGAAGGGAGCTCAGAACCTCCAAAAATCAATCCTGTGCTCTTGCAAGAGGCACGTTGGTATCTCAGATGCCTTCACATGTGGCCACCCATTATGGGTGTTTGTGAGACACTGAAATGGCCATAGGGTGTAGGCTGTACAGAGAGCAGCTCAGGGGGGTTGTAGCTGCTGTCCTCAACCCTAAAGGAGGGTTGTAGAGAAGGTGAAATCTTCTTGGAGGCTGGCAGGGAAGAAGCAGGACGCAGCAAACAAGGTGCAGCAATACAAAGTCGGATTGCATGTAGGGATTTTTTTTTCTTAGAGTGGTCAAACAATGAAACAGGGACCCAGAGGGGTTATAGATACTCCAAAAATAGAGATATTCAATGCTTAAATGGGCAAGGTCCAGAGCAACCTGATCTCCATTTGTCATTGGCTGTGCTCTGAGCAGGGCTGGCCGAGGGACCTCCAGAAGCCAAACTCCTGGGATGAGTAGCGGTAGCAGCGCTGGCATTCAGCTGGCAGCTGGATGGAGGATTTCAGCTGGCCAAATACATGTCTGATGACAGCATGTGAGATGCCATAGGGTATCTGACATCCACACGGGGCTGGCACAGGTCAAACAGGGGCTGGAGAAGCCCCATGCCTCTCCAGAGTGGCAGCTGGAGGCCAGGAGAAAATCCTAATGCAGCTAGAATGGCACTAGCATTGATTTAGGGTGTCCTAAGAGACCTGGGTGGACTGACCAAGCATGTGTGTTACTCCAGAGGGAGCTGAGATCTTCTGCAGGCTCTGCTGACTGCATCGACCAGATCTGCCTTGTCCATGGTGGGAGCTCAGGCATGGCTCACACTGAAGCACTGTGTGGCCCATAATCTGTGAGCTGAATCCCACCCAGACAGGGGCATTTTAACTTCTGTTTGCATAGGAATTTGAAATCTTTGGTGGTTTTTTCCTGCAAGGGTTGTTTCCAGTGTCAGACACCTCTCCAAGACAGAGGTTCTGGCCCTGACTCTGCCGCAGCATCAGTGTTACACCTATGGCCACAAGGAGCTGGGACAGGGTGCATTCAATGGAAGTGTCAATAAAACCTCAGAGGTCAGAGTCAAGAACTGTGATGAGTTTGTCATAGGTTAACAATCCTTAGAGGGCAGGAAAGATCTTGTGCTGGAAGAAATGAGATCCGTATGAGTTTCTTGGACTACCGAGACTGATAAACAGTTTGTTCCCAAATACCCTAAGAAGATATTGTTCTTCGGTTCAAGCTTCTTAAAAAGCTACTTAGTTTCAAAAGCTCTGCTGGTCCAAGACAGCGTTAGACTGTCCTCTTGATGTTATGTTTGTTGCAATAGACTACATGCTCCCACGGGACATGATGTCCCCCAAAGTGCTGAAGGAGATACATCCTGTGCTCCTCCTCACGTGTTTGACTCTCATTTTTGCTCCAGCTGGCTTAGCCTACTCCAATTTGGTGTATGACTGGGTGAAAGCTGCTGTCATGTTTGGGGTCATCAACACCATCGCCAGACTGGACCACTTGGACCCACCCCAGCCCCCGAAATGCATCACCATGCTCTACGTCTTCGCAGAAACGTGAGTACCCCACGTGCATTGTTGGAGAGACAGCGTGTTTCACCTGGATGAAATGTCCATGGTGGGGAGGAGGTCTGGGCTGTGCTTCTGAGCAGCTGGCCTGTGAGTTGGAGACTACCTACATTGAAAAGTCTGCACTGAACCTATAGTCTAGACCTGGCCATAGCCCAGGGAAATATTCTTGGGCAGGAAGCAATGGATAAAACAGGTTACAGCCACATCGGTAGTGGGACATGTTCAAGGAAGGAGCATGGAGAACTGCTGTGAACAAGGTTCAAGTACCTCACCAGGGGACCAGGCACCTTCTCTGCTGACTGCTGCATGGAAGGGTGTCATTACACTGTGCGCTTTAACATGCTTTTTATCATCTACATTTTAGGCATTTTGACAGAGGGATTAATGACTGGCTATGCAAGTAAGTGTCTAATCAACCATCTCTAGTGTGGTTGAGGGTCTTCTCTTTCATCACATAGCAATGAAGCATTAAATGCTGTTCATCCCAAAGATGAGGTTTCCTCTCTCCTGGGTGAATCCCACTACGGCATGGAGTCATATTTGGTCTGTTTATCCCTAAGACCATTGAATTAATCACCACAAAGTTCAACAGCCCTCCCCAGAGCTGGGAATAGGAGAGTCCTGTCCCAGAAATCCCTTTAAGTCTGGTGAGTTTAGTGTTCCCTTGAGGGAGGAAGAGTCAGGTTCATATTCCACCAGGAGGAAAGGGGAATTGAGCTCAGGTCTCCCATACCCTGGGTAATAAGGGTGGCCTGAGCTCCACCTACATCTCCCTCAGCCTTTCAGTTCTGTTCAGCCATGAGTACACACCAGCAAACCTGTACTGAAGGTGGTGGCTGCTCTGTGATGAAATCCTGTGCACCAGCAAGTCTGAGAGAGCCTGCAGCTCTGCAGATCCCCATGTTTTATCAATGCTTTACCTGCAAGAGGGGGAAAGGGTGGTATTTTGTCCTTAGGGAGCTATAGGTTTGTGAGGAACAAGCAACAGGCAGCTGGACTGTAGCAAAAGCCAATTTATTGCTAGAATGTGTTAGCCAAATCATCCTTCCTTTTTCACTGGGGTGCTCTAGATTGACCCACCTGTGGGGAGCTTGTGGTGGGCGAGTGCGGGAGAAGGGATTCTAGAGGGGTCTCCTTGACTATGAGGAGCACTGACCACTTTCTTTGGCTGTTAGGTACGTGTATGACCACATTGGAGAGAACCACGACAACGTCATGAAGGAGCTCATGGCCACCATCGCCACCTTTGCCATCACCACCCTGTGGCTGGGGCCCTGTGAGATCGTTTACATCTGGTCTGTCTTCAACTGCTTTGGCCTCAACTTTGAGCTCTGGGTGCAGAAGTTCTTCCAGCAGGAGCCTTTTGCCAAACTGGAGGTGAGGAGCTGGGCTGCAAGTGGATGGGGGAAGATCAGTGGGTCTGGGGCCAAACTCTGCTGTTGGAAAATGTCCGTTACTGTACAGAGCTCAAACTTGTTTATACAAGTCAGATCCATTCTCAGCTGAGACTGAAGAGCAACATCCCTGATGATGCTGTGCAGCTCCATGTCCAAGCCTCCTGCCTGGAGAGCCAAAGCTCGCTCCTACAGCCTTTAGCATCCTTGTCATCAGCTACTCAGCTGTGCAAGGGGAGCACAGTCCTGGTGCCCTGTATCCCTTCATTTTATGCACCGTGTCACCCACCCAGAGGAAATCCCCACCTGCCCCTATGATGCTTCTCATGGGAAATTTAGGTTGGGTGTGGAGCTTTCAGAGGGAAAACAGAGGTCCAAGAGAACCAGGGCATCAAAGTACCACAGATGGACACAAAATCTGAGGTCTGTCCATGAGGAAATGTTTATACATTTCCATATGGAAATAATTTGTTCTTCTTGTTCTGCAAAACATCTTGGCCTTCTGTGTGGTTTTGATCTGATTTCTGATAAAAGCAAATGTGTAGGTACTAGGATGAATTATTATCCAACCATGCCAAAGCTTAGTGCCCTGTCTCTGTTTGGGATCAAGGTGCCTCAGGGACATGTTGGAAGAAAAACTTAGGATCTAACTCCATCCTAGAAACAATTATGTTCCTTATTTGTTTTGCCCAACCTGAAGTCTGGAGGTCCTAAACCGGTTCAGTAAAGACCCCTTTGAATAAAAACTTTGGAGAGCAATCCTCCCATTTGCTCTCCTTGTTGAACTTCTAATCAGATTATAGCACTCACAGGCAGTGAAATCTCCTTCCCTGCGGCACCGCAATTCTCAGCACTAAGTGGCCTGGGGATTCACAGTACTCTTTGAAGATTGCTATAAACCACTTCCCCGCTCCGCTCGCAGCAGCTGCTCCTGAGGATTATGTGCCAGTGACAATTTCGTTCTGCTGCTGTCACAACTTTTTTTTTTTTTTTTTTTTAATTCCTAACAAACAGTTTCTACCAGGAGCTGAGAGTGATTTGCACGTAGGGCTAATAATAATCCTGGTATACAACAGCATTCATCTGCTTTGAGGAATGGCTTACCCAAGGCAACAGATGAAGAAAGCAGTACTCAGCCATTACAATTAGCATGAAACCGTGTATCGCATCTTGTGCCTACCCATGGGACCTTGAAACACCAGTCCAGAGTCCCAAAGGCATCTGAGTACAGCAGCAAAGCAGAAGTTCTACCTTGTCCTTATGTTTCTTCATCCCAGAGACACTAAAGGCTGCTCTAATTTTTGCCTACCCCTCTGCGATCCCAGCTGGAGTTTGGCTAGAGTTGGATGAGTGCATCCCCTTTCCTTACAGCTCCATTTTTCCTCACTCTCTGCTCATGTCCCCTCCACAGGCCAAGATGTCAGCGGCCATGTCTCGGCGGATTAGGGCAGTTTTTGGGGCAGCAAATTTCTGGGCCATCGTCCTCTACAACATCCTAGCCCTGAACAGCCTGGAGTTTGCACTGCTGGTCACCAAGAGACTCCTTCTGACAGGTAAGATGCTACCAGCCTTCCCCATCGAGGCACCCTTGTCTTGATGGGGGGACGCTGGTAGGGGAGCTGAGGACTGGGACTTCCAAGTCCTTTTGGTGGCCTGACCATTGGCTTGTTATGTGGCTGCTCTCAATGTGCTTAATTATTGTTCAAAAGGTGCAGGAAGCTGTTTCTTAGCTCCCATCCTTCTCATGTGAGGTCTCTGGGGTATGAGCTGCCTTCCAGGTGTACTTGTCCAGCTCCTAGCACAGCCTGATCCTGTGATTTAGACTCCTTGCAGCAACAAAAAGGTCACATTTGCCCCACCAAGGTGGGCTGTGAAATGGTCCCCTTGCTGGAGAAAGGGATTTACTTGTCCTACCTCATCTCCTTTTGAGTTAGCAGTTACTCCTGCATCAACCTGAAGGTGACAGGTACAGGCTCCCAGTGAACAGTCTTATCTGTACAGTTCTAACCAGTGGACGGTGGCAGTATTTTGAAGTCTTCTTGAGCAGCCCAGGTTATAAATAACCATCAGGAGCCCACGTCCTCCAGCCCTCTCTGGGACAGGGCTGGCGTAGGAAATGGATAATGTGACGCTCTGGGCTCAGTGTGCCAGAAGTGCCTGCCCGCTGAGCTAGCTGGCTTTTGCTGGTTGCATTATTCATTTCAGAGGTCCTGTTTTAGCAGGTACAAAGCCTGTGTCTCTCCTCTGCTGTGGATACCAGACTCGTGGTTACAAATGCCGTCAGACCCTTCCTAAGTGGAGGGAGAGCTCCCAGCTGTCAGCCACTTACCTGGGTGACAAAACCAGGTGTTTCCTGGGCACACAGTGTGTCCCCACTCAGTGCGGGACAAGGCTGGGGTTGATCCTCAGCATCAGCGGGGCTACCAGAAGGTCATGGTGTTGAACAACGATGGACATAGGCAGGTTGAATGGGCAGAAAGTCAACCACCAAGTCTGAACTTGGGGGGCAGAAGGAGTTTTGGAGGTAAGGGAGTGCTCGAAGCTACTCCAGCATGTTCCCACATTAACTATGGTCCATGATGCCTTGGTGGGCTCAGGCACTGCTTCATCTAAAATCTGATCCTGGGAATTTCTCTCTCAGTGAAGCTGTAGGGCTGGATCCACAATGGTAAATGTCGTTGGCCATCATGAACTTATGGGACCTCCCAAACCCACCTGAGAGGCAGCAGTGCTGGAGAAGAGCTGACCCCTTTAGGCAAGCAGTTACACCAAGATGACCATGTTTCCCTCTTTCTTCTAGGTTTCCCTGTCAGCACCTTGTCCATCTGGTTCATCACATACTGCGGAGTGCAGCTGATCAAAGAGCGTGAGCGCATCCTGGCCATAGAGGAGGAGAAGTGTGACAAAGCAAAGGTGGAGTAGAGGGAGGCATCGGTGGGCTTGTTCCAAAGCCTTGTCTCCCCTCCAACCACCGCTGCCAGGTCAGCCACTGGCAGGGGCTCTCCAAGCACTCCTGACAATCGGACTGCTGTAGCTCACCCATGTAGAAGTCACCTGGAAGGCACAGGTCACCCCCTTGCTGCAGGAAAGATTTTCTCTAAGACACAGTGGGCGTTTCTCAGGCTCCCTATGCGTGGCAGACTGCTAAGGTAGGCTCCCAGGACATTTCTTCAGTGCCAGCAAGAGTCCATCCCGATCATTTTTCTGACCCTCTGACATTGTGCAGGCCCAGAGATTTCACCCCTGCTTCCCATAACTTGGTCTCCCACAGGACCTGTATCCCATGTCTCCCAGAGAAGACTCTCCAAGTCCCACAGCTGGAGGTTTTAGGGTGGGCCAGACACACAGCTATGAGAAAGAGATTAGCTGGAGCTGAGCCTGCTCTGAGCAGACCATCTCCAAGTTGCGTCCAGCCCAAGTATCCCACGTTTCCTTCACTACAAGAAATGGTCAGCATCCACTGTCAAGTGTTCAGCATCTATGTTGTGCAGTAAGGACTGTCAAATGGCTCAGTACAACCTATACCTACCAAGAGGCTAATAAATAAGTATTTATAGCAAAGGGAAGGAGGACCAGGAATGGCACATTGAAGGGTAATTGTCTCCCCACCACTGTCAGCAGTGCAGAGTGATAGCTGTTACGATCTCTGCAAAAAAGGTCCCTTCAGTGCTAAATGTCTTGAAAAAAATTATTTAGTGCCAACATCAGGCATAGTTAATGAGAGTGCGGGAGCCATACCTGCTTCACAACCATTGTGCATCATGTACAGGTTGCCTGGGGAGTGGGCATGCTGAAGAAACACAACACATGGCTCACAACTGCTTGGTCCCCAGGCCCCAGCTCAGACCCAGAGGGCCCTCCACTGCTGGGTCTGAGACCAGTGTGGCCACCACGACCATCCTGTGATACATGCCCTGGGACTCAAACCAAATCCCACCTGCATTTTTTACACGCCATAGACAAAGGCTTGAACTCACATTCCTGCCCATAGCTGAGGAACAGAAGATGCTGTAGCCACTTCTTGCTCATCTCCAGCCATCCATCCCTTTACTCAACTGACTTTGGTGCACACAGCCTAAGCCCATGGCTGCATGGCTGAATGAGCACACACACATAGTACAACCAAAGGAAAAAGACCCTGAATGAAGGGCAGTGATTTGGGACTTGGTGGTGGAGGGGAAGCCCGTAATAGACTCCTTGGAGAAGTAGACTTTGGGGCACTGCATAGTAAGTGCATTGAATAAATATACATGTATAAAACACAGTGCCTTGGGGAAAAGGTGGGTTAATAATTGAAAAATAGCTCTGTCTCTCTTACACTTTAGAGTAATTTTCAGTGGCCTTATGTCTGAGTTCTGTTGATGTTTGGTGAGGGCAGAATCTGGACCACTTTGTAACATGGGTTGAGACGCTGGTGCTGGTGTGTTCTGGCTTCCCTGTGGATAAAACAGGATTGGTTCCTAGCCAGCTTTAAGCTCTGCCAAAGTAATTTGTGAAGTCCCTGATAAATGTCATTTATTTATGTAGTAAATAAATGTTGGAAATCTGTGGCACCTGTTACGCTGCTGTAATGGAGGTGACACCCTGGGTAACGCACTGCCATCAGAGCTGAGAGACACAAGGATCTGTTTGCAGGTCCTCACCTCCCACCCCTAATTGTGACACAAGATAAGATATTGTTGAGTTTGATAGAAACCCACCTTAGCAGCATCGTCAGATCGGAGGTTTGGCTGCAGCTTGATTCATATTCACCTTTGACTCCACCTTTGTGGAGTGAAAATACCACAGGTATTTTCTGGTGAAATACCACAAGCCTACTGCCATCAGACTTTCATCCATGTAGTTTTTATTTCTGGGAGCCCGACCCAAAATGCTGGAAGTAGAGGCACATATTGTGCTGTGGTGGCCTCTCTAATCACATCTCCAAAACCCCTTCATCTACCAGGCACATCCCTTTTTAATATGGATCTGCTGCTGGATGTTTGGTAGGTGTTTCTTGGCATCTCCGTTATTTCGGATTTACACTTTACCACCAAAACAGTTATGACATGATGTGCTTCATCCCAGCGTAAAATTCAGCTCTTCTCCTCCGTGCAGGTGTCCTGACACAGCTGAAGCCACCTTGAGCTGCCGAGACCAAGGGCTCTGCCTCCGCAGGTGGCCTAGCTCAGGTTCCTGTCTGCCCGGGAGGACAGACAGAGTCACCCACCTTCCAGTGCCGAAGTGGGTGACTCACACAGCAAAGCCCAGTGACTCTGCACTGCCCTCCTGACTTGGATATTCCAGGAGGGAAAATAATCCATTCACTAAAGATCTAAATTTACCCAGCAGCTGCATCTGCTGAAGATGCCAGAAGGAGCTAATCTTAGACACCGAGTGAGTGATTTGTTAGAGAGACAGTTCATGGGAGAACTTGGGCTTTGCCTCCCTTTGCCTGAAGTTATCCCCTCGTTTATCACTGCTGTTAGAAACCCAGGGGGTCTGGTGGGCCAGGAGCACCTAAGTGGTGCTATCTCAACCATGTCTCACTGCCTCCATGGAGCAGGATTTATCAACTGCTCATCTCTCTCCTGGAGGAGAGTATCTCGTCTGATATGGTCATTGCCTGCCTGTTAGTAAAACTTGCCTGAGAAGCCAAGAAAAGCAATTATTTATTGCAACTACAAATCCAAATTAATAGCCCTACACTGGACGCTTTCTTGTTCAACCTGACATGGCTGTAATTCCTGCATTCACTTTCCTTGTTCTAAATTTTGTAAGGGAGGGAGTGATCCTGCTTCATTGCATCCCGTTAGGATGCTTTCCGTGTATCCTACCCACTCCCATGTTGTGGGGGGTCAACTGCCCACTTAGAGACACACTTAATAACTGACCTAGTCCATTGGTCATTGGAAATCACCAGCTGTAGTCCCGTTAGACCTGGGGCCAGTTAGCTGAGGGCTTTCTCAGAACAGCCCACCTCGTTCAGGGCTGTGCTGTCTATCACACAGCTCTCTCAGGGGAGTACCCTGGGGAGAGTTGATTCACCCATTCATGTGTTCACGGAGATAACTGAATGGTAACTATCATCACTGCTCACCCTTATCACATCCACATATGCCATCTCATCTGCGTTTGGATGCTAAATCCCTCTGGGCTTGGCTTGGAGACCAGCTTACCTTAGTGGTGACACATTGGACCCAGAAAATGGAGGACAGCTGGGACAAGTCTACTGTGATCAAAGCCTCCCCAAGAGATAATGGTTGCAGAGAGCTCAGGATTGTTGATTGCCTCAAATTCCACTGCTATCATCAGAGAAAAGTCTCCTGTAGCAATCAGATGTGGCCTTGGCTCTCCGGTCCAGCAAGGCTCAGACGAAGCCCCCCAAAAATCCTGTTGACTTCTCTGCACATAAAGAGATTGTGAAATGGCAACAACCAACCAGTGTGAACAAACGAAAACCAGGAATGAAGGAAGACACACAAGTGAGAAAGAAATACTGTGCTTGAGATCCAGACTGTAAATGTGTAACCTCAGATGTAAGAAGGAAAGTGATCTGAACACCAAACATTTGGTGGGTGAGAGGCTCTGAAGTTTGTGGATCTGAGCTGCATAAAGCACTGCTGGCTTTTCACGCCCAGCCCCAGGAGGGTTCAGGAGAGGTGCACAGTGCCTCTGAGAACACCCCTGGGTCTCCCCATTAGCACCGTGTGAGCCTCCCCACAGCGCAGAGCTTCTCAGAGGGCTTGGGTCCACCAGATCAACCTCCATCCCGCAGGCTGTGGCAGAAACTTGTCTGGGGAGGAATCAGCCTTATCTGAGCTGAACACACCCGTGCTCGGGAGCCAGGGAGGTTTACGGACCATTTGAATCAGGGTTAACACATAGGACACAGCCTGTATGTCCAGCCTGGGCCATATGTGCGTTCTACAACCGTTTTGATGACAGGGCTTGGGATGGGTGCTGCTGTACTGACCTGACAGAAAAATATGGTGGAAACATAAGGCAAGGGATCACACGTGTGAATGTTGCCACAAGCCATCACGAGGACAGCATCCCAGCACTGCTGGTGTTAGGAGGCACTGGGAAGAATTAAGGGTGTTTAGTCTGAATTCATGATTTAAACTCTCTCGAGAGTGAATGGGGACAGGTGGACATCACCAGAGTCCTCTCATCTTAGGCAAGTGTCTAACTCAGGCGTAGTGATCTGGCTCCCAGAGATACCTGTCTCTCCCCATGGCTGTAGGGAGCCTAAATGACAGAGTGCACCAAGGAGGTGGTGCTCTGGAAAAACCAGGGCTACTTCGCCAAGCCTTGGAGCTGGTCCAGCTGCTGTGCAAAGCCACTGAAGGCAATGAAGACCCCCAGAGCAGGTTTCGGACCAGCACAGTGCTCTTTCTCTGCGTGCACCACAAACCTGGGGGAAACCACAGACCAACCAGTCAGTCAGGAGCTCCTCTGGGAAGGGATGGGCTGTAGCTGCGTTTTAGCAGTGGCACCTCGTGATGTGGCGAATGTGGAAGCAAACCTTGGATCGCAGCACATGCAGAGCAGCACGGTGAAAAGGAAAACAAGCCAGAGCTCAAGGGACACTAAAGGCAGAGGGGGAAAAAAATCCCAGCTGGTAGCATGACAATGCAGGATTAAACTTGGGAAAGTGCAGCGCTAATGCAGAGGGAAGGGAGAGGGGAAGATGGGGTTGTCCAGCCCCAGACGTCTGGGAGCAGAGGAACGTTTCCGAAGTTCGACCCAATTCAAAGATCAGTTCTTGTCATCTGATCCCTTCGCAGATGAGCAGCACGGCAGAAAAGCTTATGATGTGAGCTCTGAAAACAGCTTGTGATTATTTCCCTGCTATATTGCTACCTCCTAGACGCCGCTGGAACCTCACCAGTACAAAAGGGCTTCATACCAGTATAGCTCCCTCCTTCTTCCCACTTACGTAGATAACCATCATGGCACACAGCACTTTTATAAATACATCCATGCCGGGGTAAGGGGTTATGTGGCTTTAAATACACCAGGAAGAGTGGCTAGTATCTTTGCATAGACTTAATTAAATCGTTAATTAAATCTCTGCCATTGCTGTCAGCCAGCCCAGAGGGTCCGTAGAAACGGAGATAAAATAAAACAGATT